GATGAGGCATTCCACTCCCGGACATCTCAGATGTCCTCTTTTTTTCAAGGACCGCAACTTCCCCTCCACAGTGGTCGAGAATGCCCTCGACCGTATCTCCCGCATTTCCTGCAACTCCTCCTTCACACCCCCTACCCGCAATAACAACCAAAACAGAATCTCCCTTGTCCTCACGTACCACCCCACCAACCTCCAAATCCAACGCATCATCCTCCGACATTTCCGCCATCTGCAATCTGACCCCACTACCAAAGACATTTTTCCCTCCCCACCCTTATCTGCTTTCCGGAGGGACCACTCTCTCTGTGACTCCCTTGTCCGCTCCACACTCCCCTCCAGCCCCACCACCCCCGGCACTTTTCCCTGCAATTGCAGGAGGTGCTACACCTGCCCCTACACCTCCCCCCTCACCCCCATCCCAGGCCCTAAGAAGACCTTCCACATCAAACAGATGTTCACCTGCACATCTGCTAATGTGGTATACTGTATCCGCTGTATCCGCTGGTCCTGTTGTGGCCTCCTCTACATCAGGGAAACCAAGCGGAGGCTTGGGGACCGCTTTGCGGAACACCTACGCTCAGTTCGCAACAAACAACTACACCTCCCAGTCGTGAACCATTTCAACTCCCCCTCCCACTCCTTGGACGCCATGTCCATCCTGGGCCTCCTGCATTGCCACAATGATGCCACCTGAAAGCTGCAGGACCAGCATCTCATCTTTCGCTTGGGAACCCTGCAGCCCAATGGTATCAATGTGGACTTCACAAGCTTCAAAATCGCCCCTCCCCCGACTGCATCCCAAAACCAGCCCAGCTCGTCCCCGCCTCCCTAACCATTCCTCCCACCCCCATCTCCTACCCACTAACCTCATCCCACCTCCTTGACCTGTCCATCCTCCCTGGACCGACCTATCCCCTCCCTAACCCCCCACCTACATTCACCTTTACTGGCTCCAATCCCGCCTCTTTGACCTGTCTGTCTCCTCTCCACCTATCTTCTCCTTTTATCTGTCTTCTATCCGCCTCCCCCTCTCTCCCTATTTATTTCAGAACCCCCTTCCCCTCCCCCATTTCTGAAGGGTCTCGACCCGAAACGTCAGCTTTCCTGTTCCTCTGATGCTGCTTGGCCTGCTGTGTTCATCCAGCTCTACACCGTGTTATCTCAGATTCTCCAGCATCGCCAGTTCCTACTATCTCCAAAAAACATTTAGGCCTAGTCTCTGTTTCCTGTTAGCCAGCCAATCGTTTTGCCAACATACTGTCCCCTGCACCATAAATTTTTATTTACCACAGTCACCTATGATGTAGCATCTTAGCAAATGCCTTCTGGAAATCTAAGTAGAGGACATCCACCAGCTCCTGTTTAGCCTAGGCACATGTTACTGCCAAAATAAAACTCCCAATAGATTTGTTAAACATGATTTTGCTTCCATAAAACTATATTAACTTTGCCTGAGTACCTTGAAACTGTCTTCGGCCCTGTTGTAGTTTCTTTCATCATAGCTTCTAATATTTTCCCAATGACAGATGTTAAGCTAACAAGCCTGTAGTTTTCAGTTTTCTGCTTCCCTTTTTGGATATACAGACCTTCCCCGAATCAAGATGGTTTTGCAAAATTCAAACCAATCAACTATCTCAATAGCCATTTCTTTTAAGACCTTGTGCACAATATATTCTTGATTCACTTTTTCAAGTCTAATTTCCAAGGCTTGACTTGGAGTAGCACAGTTATCGTTGAATCAAAAATCATTGGTTCCAGCACCACTCCAGAAAATGGAGCACACAACCTGTGTGAATTATTTGATGGAGTGCTCAGCACGTTTTGGACTGGGAAGGGTACTTTTTATTTTCTGAGATACATCAAACGTTAACCATCTGCTTCCATGTCCCAATCGAAAAGTTTTGGTGTAGTTATTCAAATAAGAGCAGGAAAGGTCTATTCAGTGTTTGTTTCACTGACAACCCAAACTGAATATTTGTTGTTTATTCTCATACCATTTTTGAGCATTTCCTCCATGCTATTTAGCTGCAGCATTTGGCTACGTTATAGTATTGATCACCTCCAAAAATATTCTTTTGTTTGGGAGATACGGAGGGTGCGACAGTCATAAATGGAAGAATTTTTTTTTCGGTATTTGTTGTCACATACCTAATACACTGTATTTGTGTACCACAGTGGTATGCTTCCAAATCCATTTTCTTAATTTGTTGCCCTTTATCCTCAAGTAAAATTAATTGTAAGACAACCATGGAAATGTTACATTACAGAAAGAGGCATTCAGCTCATTGTGTTTGCCTTGGCTGAATAAACTCACCACCATTCTAATCCCCCTTACTGCCACCTCGTCTGTAGCTTTGCAGGTTACACTGCTTCAAGTGTAGGTGCAGTTTTCTTTTAAATGAGTTGAAGGTTTCTGGCTCAACCGCCAGACTGGACAGTGAATTCCAATATGCACCACCCTTTGAGTGAAAAGGTGTTCCTTCATGTCCTGTTTAATCCTTCTACCGATCACCTTAAATCTATGCCCCATGATAATTGATTTCTATTAATAAGGGAAGCAAGTTGTCTTTGTGCACTCTACCCAAGTTCCTCATAATTTTGTACATCTTGATAAAGTTGTCCCTCAGCTTCCTTTCGTTCTAAGGAAACAACCCTGCCAATCTTTCCTCATAGTTGCAATTTGCAAGCTTTGATAGCATTCTTGTAAATCTCCTCTGTACACTCTCTTAAGCAATTATGTCCTTCCCTAATATGGTGACCATAACTGTACATAATCTCCGCCAGCTGTGGCTGAATAAGTCTCATATAGTCCCAACGTTGCATCCCTGTTCTTGTATTCAGTAACTCGCCTAATGAAAGAAAGCATCCCTTGTGCCTTCTTTACCACATTATGCATTTGACTTGTATCTTCACTGAACTGAGGACATGCACTTTGAGATTTCTCAACACTCTCTGTACCTTGGTGTTTATTATGTATTCCCTTGCTTTGCTTGCCCTCCCAAATGTGCAGCCTTACACTTCTTTAGGTTGAAATCCCCTAGTCACTTTTCTGCCCACTCAACCAAGTCATTGATACCATTTTGCAGTCGACAGCCATCCCCTTCACTGTCAAGTAGCTGGAAAATTTTGGTGTTATATTCAAATTTCCCAATCAAGCCTTGCAAGCATTAATCTACATCATTAATGTACACCACAAATAGCAAGGGACCTGACGCTAAGCCGTGTGGAACACCACTGGAAACAGCTTTGCATTCGCAAAATCATCTGCCAGCTATTACCCTTTTGCTTCTTGTCACTGAGCCAATTTTGGATCCAACTTATCACTCTTCCTGTATCTCATAGGCTTTAATTTATCTGAACAGTCTGTCATATGGGATTTTGTTGAATTCTTTACTAAAATCAATTGAGACAACATCTACTACCTGATGATTATTAATCCTTCTTGTTACTTCCAAATTCATTTAAGTTAGTGAGATATAATATTCCCTTAACAAAGCTGTGTTGATGAGCACTTTGTTATCCATGCCTTTTCAACTAACAGCTAATCCTGTTTATCAATATTGGTTCCAATTTTTTGCCCACCACTGAGGTCATACTGACTGACGTATCATTATTTTGCATGTCGCTCACACCCTTTTTTGAATAATGCTTGCCAACCTCCAGTCCTGTGGTACATCACCTTTTATCTAGGAAGACCTCTGTTTCTTCCACTTCCAGATATCTAATTACTTGCACAGCAACGCCAGCCGCTGGCAAGATACTCTCCCTTAGCTCGAATCATGCAAAGTTACTTGTTTTCTTTTTAAGAATATAGGTTATTTTCTCAAATTGTTCTTTGTTGAAGTGTTCATGTGCCCCATGACTTTCGCAGGTGCTGTTGCAATGTGGCTGTTGCCTGGCACCATTTTGAGCTTGGCTGCTGTCTTTTCAACGTTCTAACTTGGGGGGGGGAGGAGAGTGTGGATCAAGGTCATGGGAACAATACCAACGTGAGACCCATATAACCACTTGGCATTTGCCAAGCACCTGTATATCATCTGATGTGCCATGTGAGCATACTGACTGAAAAATCTGACAGAGGCCACTTTGCGAAATAACATAACATGCGCCCAATTGTCTGGTCAAAGAAATGGGCTTTTTGGAACCTTTTGAAGGAGGGGGGAGAGAGAGAGACACACACACAAGTTGACAGAGAGAATTTGTAAGTTTAGTCCCGAAAGGCCCTTACCTGGTACGTAAGGCCAGGAAAATTGTGGAGGAGTTGCAAAGAGTGCTCAGAGGGTCAGGTAGGACTGGAGGTGACTGAGAATAAGGTGACCGTGAGGCCGGGGAGCGGATTTGGAGGGGTGGTCAAACTTGAAAGGGTTCAGATGTACAAGGATGTTGCCAGGTTGGAGGGTTTGTGCCAGGGGAGAGGCTGAATAGGCTGGGGCTATTTTCCCTGGAGTGTCGGAAGCTGAGGGGTGACCTTATAGAAGTTAGTAAAAATTATGAGGGGCATGGATAGAGTGAATAGTCAAGGTCCTTTCCCTCGGGTAAGGGAGTCCTGAACTAGGAGACATATTTTTAAGGTGAGAGGAAAAAGACTTAAAAGGCACCCAAAGGGTAACTTTTTCACACAGAGGGTGGTTTGTATGTGGAATGAACTGCCAAAGGAAGTGTTAGATGCAGGTACAGTTACAACATGTAAAATAAATTTTGACAGGTACATGGAGAGGAAAGATTTAGAGGGATGTCCCATTTGCCTGCGTTTGGCCCACTAGTTTAGTTCATGGAAACTTGATCGACATGGACAAGTTGGACTGAAGGGTCTGTTCCTGTGTTCTATGACTCTGTGTATCAAATGTTTTGAAGACTCTGTATGTCTGTGATATAAGAAACAAAGTGAAGAAGTAAACACGGTTCAGATTTTAATTTATAATGGGTTGTCTTGTGATAGCCAAGATTCTTATTCCAGTAGCCATTTTGAGTGCTTCTCTTTTGTATCTGTTTCTTAACAGATTTTATCCCAGATTCAGAAGTATGACAACCTAATTACACCTGTTGTGGATTCTTTGAAATACCTCACTTCCTTGAACTATGATGTCTTGGCATGTATCCTTTTTTTTAAAAAACAGCTGTGTGTTCATGTTAATTAAAGATCATCAGTTGTAACATAAACTGCAACTTTTGCTTCCTGATTAGAAATGGAACGATGAGCAATTTCCTGGTTCTGCAAGTCCAATTGTGCCTCAGTAATGCCTCAAATGATCTGATTTACATCCCATAGTGGCAGAGATTTTGGGAGGCTGCTGGCTGCCAGTGAGGGCTGGGTCAGAGGCCTGCCTGTCTGCACCAGCACTGCTGGCTGCCAGTGAGGGCTGGGTCAGAGGCCTGCCTGTCTGCACCAGCACTTTACTGCAGTTTAATTTGTTTAAAAAAAAGCAAAGAAAATCCCTCGGTCATTTGTCCCTCACATGCACTGCGCCCACCCTTGCGTGTTTCTCTCTCTCTCACACACCCACACCATCCATTGTTAACCCATGCCATTTCATACCCTATGCCCATCTATGCTTTCCGAAGGCACTTTGTATCCCCCGTGTCTCTCTGCCCACACCCCTGTGGCACTTAATACCCCCATGCCAATTAATAGCCATGGAACCACCACCCTGGCATTTTGAACCTTTCATGCAAACCGTGTGAACCTGCATGCTCTTTGCCCTTCCACCTTCACTGTCAAATCTCCTCATATTTACCAATCCTCAGAGCCATACTGACATTAAATAGAGTTGACATCACGATTTAAGGAATGCATTCTCACTGATTTTGGAAAAAAAGTTCAATACGTTGAATTTCCTTCTCATAATCTGTCATGAATGTGAACATTTTGTATTCTTAGTTCTCAGGGTTGTGCGTGTTTTGGGCGTATTCTTGTGTACGTGTTGTAATATCAAAGGGTATTCTAATCCCTACCCCAAGGTTTCTGGTGACAATATCCATATCTCATCTCTCCAAAGGATTACCATCATTATCCAGAATAAAATTTTGAAGCCGAAATGCTCTGACTTGACGCACTCTCGGCTCCAGACAGTGGGGATACCAAAATGAATTTTAAGTGGAAACAGCTGCCCACTTAATAAAAACCGAAAGAACTGCGGATGCTGTAAATCAGAAACAAAAAGAGAAATTGCTGGAAAAGGTCAGCGGGTCTGGCAGCATCAGTGGAGGGAAAGCAGAGTTGATATTTTGGGTCGAGTTACCCTTCCTCAGAACGCAGTGCGAAACATTACCTCTGATTTCTCTCCACAGGTGCTGCCAGATCTGCTGAGCTTTTGCAGCAATTCCTGTTTTTTCAGCTGCCTACTTAACTGATCAGCCATCTATGTGAATGTCACTTATGTGAGGCCCGTGCTGTCCCCACACCTGCCCTAATTGAAATCATTTTGATTCATTTGGGGTAAGACTAACTGATTTGAGGGATATTTACCTTTTTTGTCTTGGGTCTAAAAATCCAAGTCTTAATGTTCTATATGTTCAATTATTTGTCAGTTGGTAAAAATAATGTCCAAAATTTCTGAATAGTTCTGAACTAATTTTGTTTGATTTCTCCCTGGTAACGCTGAAAAACTGTTTATTTTAGTTAATCTTACTTCTGCAATACATTTAAAACACATGTGGTATGAGAGTTTTGGAGCATATTTTAAATGTGTACAATTCATGGGATCCATTCTGGTTTGTTCATTACAATATCAGTTTGCGCTGTTTTCCAGTCTCCCTGTCACCTGTCAGATTTGTGCAGTCAAGCATGCCTGTGGATTAGGGATGTGAGATGTCTCCAAAAGGCAAAATTACGTCCAGTTTACACGTTCAACCTCCATACGATGTTATTTTAGTTTCATTTGAAGCAGAAGTAATGTTGGAAAGAAGAGTAAGTTAATTAAGTGTCATGGTGGGAGGAGGGGAAGGTTCGAGTTGAGGTGTTTTATTAAAAGTTGGTGAAAATATTTAAGGGCCATTGAATGGGATTGATGAAATATGATACATTGATGGAATCTAAGAAATATTTAATGTAATGTGATAGTAAGTAGATATTTAGCAATTCAAAGGAAACACAGCATCATTTATCCTTGGGCAATAAAAACAACTCAGCAATAATTTGAAGGTGACAGTATAAATGATAGACCATGCAGGCAGAAACTATCCGAAGGTGTATAATTGTCCTTGGATTAATTTTGGTGGTGGGTTGGGCAGAGAAGTTGACAACCCATCATTGCCTTCCAGTGATGAAACTAGAATATTTTGACAATTTAAGTCTTTTCCATTTGTGTTCTAAAACAAGGGAAATAATTATCCCTTGTATCTGAAATTTGCGTAGTTTACTGTTTTGCCCATTCAATTCAAATCTAACAATTTTAGAATCACTGACCTTGATGAAAAATATAAATCCAAAACATTAGTCCAAAAATAGAATTCTGTCATCAATTCCATCCTAACATAAATTCTTGGGCTTTTTGTGTTTGAATGTGAAGAAATGCTTTGACCTCTCAGATTTCAGTATTGCATGCAGTTGCTTAAAATAATTTTCAACATCTGTAAGTTAATTACTTTATATTAGTTTTGTGGTTTTCTTTAACCTGTTGGCAAGATTGCATCATTGAAGCGCTGGCCAATCCTGAGAAAGAGAGAATGAAGCATGATGACACCACCATCTCTACCTGGTTGCAGAGTCAGTGGAATTTTTATTTTCGCATTGTTGCTACTATAACTAATAATTTATGTTTAATAATGTCTGCATCTAGAGTTCAATAAAGTTGAGGAATACTAGGTACATATGTTACAAATAAATTATTGTAAATGTAAAACGTCAAGGTACGTGCCCCTTCCAGCATAAATTCTGACTAAAAATGGTTCTTTGTAAGTTTCACATGGTTACATTCTATGCCAATTTTTTTTTCATTCAAACTTTGAAGATTTGAAGGGTTTTTAAATTTTTTATTCTGTTAATACACAAGTATCTCTTTTATTTTGAAATGGTATAATGAAAACGTGAATTTATATTTTTGAACAGGTCTGGCAAGTTTTTGTGGTGCCATTTTCAGAAAATATCCAATAGAACTTACTGGTCTTCTGCAGTATGTTGCTAACCAACTGAAAGCTGGGAAAAGGTACAGTTACTATATGAAAAGGAAACATGGATTTTTATTTGATGTTATACATATCAGGTTTGATAATTGGCCTGATTTTTGTCTTTTGGTTATCTCCTCATGAAGAGAAAGCTGAGACACAATTGTGCTTGAATCCTCGTTCATAATAATTTTACCCTCTTCTCACGTTGCATGAATAACTACAATTCTGTAGCCTTAATTAATGTACAATAAAGGAATAGTCATGTTTTAGAGATGTATGGGTAGCATAAACATCTCTTGCTTCTGATATTATTGCTAGTTTATATTCAATTTACTCTTCAACTTGTTTAATATAGTTTTGATTTGCTGATCCTAAAAGAAGTGGTGCAGAAGATGGCTGGTATTGAAATTACAGAGGAAATGACGACAGAACAATTGGAAGCTATGACTGGTGGAGAACAGTTAAAAGCCGAGGCAAGGCATTTTTGCATGCTGAAAGTTTTGTGAATGGTGACGTAGGACAATACCAAACATTGATGGGTTTTAGTAAAGGAACTGCTGAAATTTGAGCTATGAGAAAGATAATTCCTTGATGTGTCGATTCTGGTATGCTTGGCTCTGCACTGAAGTAAATAGAAAGCACAAATACAAAGTTTAGAAATATAATGGAGTACACCAAGTACTTGAAGTTAGTGGCCTGAATGATGCCTTTTCTTTTATGTTTAACCAGTTTGCAAAATTTTATAAACATCGAGTGAATTATTACATTAGCTAATTCACATTTTATTTGCGACTTAAGCCTGAGGAAACAACTTCATTTTTTACACTATTTGCATAAATCGATTTAATTTGTGATGCATAATAGGTTATCAAATCAATACGTACTATTTTTTTGACTTGTACCAAGTGAAAACTATAACATTCATTAAAATTTTTTGTGACAATTATTATTTTGGATTGGCTTTGAAAGTAGAGCTTATTGTGTGGCAGAGGTCGTACGTTGCTTGATATTTTACTTTTATTATTTGGTGCAAACATTGAAATTAGTTATTAAATTTGGGTTTTTGACTTAATAAGATCAGTTATGTTACGTGCAAAGATGAAAATGCTAAAATTTTAAAATTAGAAAACGTGTTTTAAAATGTTGATTGGGGAAGGAGTAACTTGTGTATCATGGTAGAATATTTTTGCTTCTGTTTTCAGGGCGGTTACTTCGGACAGATCAGGAACACAAAAAAGTCATCGCAACGGCTAAAAGATGCACTGCTGGACCATGACCTGGCACTTCCTCTTTGTCTCCTCATGGCACAGCAGAGAAACGGTGTTATTTTCCAGGAAGGGGGTGAGAAGCACCTCAAATTAGTTGGAAAATTATATGACCAAGTAAGCATTACAAATATGCGAAGAATTAGATTAATAATTTTTATAGCATTTTTTTATTGACAGTGGAACTGTAATATTCCTTGATGGTTACTTAAATTCTGTTTCTCAGGTAGCTGATTCATATTTGAAAAGTGCTGTCTGTTTCAGACAAATCAGTCTGATTGCTCAGCACCACGTACATTAGCGTAAAAATCAACCGTCACCCCTACCAACAAGCTGCGATTGCAAAATGTACTCTGTAAAGAATACACTGCAGTTACTTACCAAAGCTTCTTTTGCAACACCTTCCAAATCTTCTTCTTCAGCTAAATGGGCAAGGAAAGAAAGTACATGGGAACATAATCACTTCCGTCATCTCCTCCAACTCTCATACAGACTTGGATACATGTTGTTATCTCTTCATAATGTTTGGTTAAAAAATCAAGCTTGTGATTTGAGAACATTGCAGGAGCGCTTTCACTGTTTAGACTACTGATTTAAGGTGTTCACCATTGTCCTTCTAGCTCGCAACTCAACAAAACAAATATTATTTGTCAAAATGTTTCTTGCACTTACAATGCAAGTGTTGGATATCATTTCTGATATGGGTATATTTATCTCATTCAAGAATTGTATTGTTAGTTTTTTGCTTAAGGATTGATTATTTTCTAGTATTGGTGGTTCTTTTCAAATTGCAAAAAGTCTTCCTCTGTGTCTTTCCAAATAATTCTGCCCAGTTTTATGCTGCAAAAGATGTCTCCAATTACATTGCAGCATTAAACATCTCCTCGGTACATCTATTTTTTATCTTAAAAACAAGAACTGGAAAAACAGTGAATGCTGTAAGTAAGAAACAAAAACAGAAGTTGCTGGACAAGCATAGCAGGTGTGGCAACATCTGTGAAGAGAAACCAGAGGTCATGTCCAGTGACTCTTCCTCAGAACTGAATTTCTCCACACAGATGCTGCCAGACCTACTGAGCTTTTCAAGCAACTTCTGTTTTTGTTATCAAACAGATAAAAATAGAAACAATCATACGGTATCGTGGAAAAATGCACTTTAATGCTGAGCACATTTCAAAATCACACACCCAACTCATGATCTGCTTTTCTCAGCCAAAAATGTATATTATTATTCCAGTGAGCCAAAGTGTGCAGTTATTCAATTGGATAAATAATAGACTTTCAGAATCTATTCTACATATGTTTCTGTTTTGGTTCTGTTACCTTGCAACTAATAAAATCTTTTCTTGTTGCACTTTACATTTGAACTCTGGGACTGCAAATAAGAGTACAGAAGTAGATTGGCATACCACTGGAGAGATAGGGCTCGATTTGTTATCCAGTTGATTTGGACTTAATACTAGCACATGCATGTGCAGTTATTTCATATTCTTTTTGCTTTTTAAAATTAAAAACATCCAAGAAGTATTAACACTAGCATTCAGTAACTCTTGCTCCATTCGTCCTGATGCTGCCTGAATTATATCAGATTTTAAGCCTGATCTTCAATTATATATTTTATTTGTGTAATAGATGATTTGACAGCCAGCAGTTTTTATGCATTATATCATAGAAACAGCGAATCTTTGTGTTCCTTATTTATCCACCTGACAAACAAAAAAAGTAGATCTACATCAGATTGGCTCCCCTCCAACTTAGGAATTTATTATTTTATGCTTTCTGCTGTATCTTTAAGATTTTGATCCCATCTTGGTTCAGTGTAATCTTTCATTTGCATATATTGCAGAGTTTCTCGGAAGCTGTGACCTCCTTGCCCAACTGATTTTCAGGCAAAATACTGCAGGAGCTGTAAATCTGAATTAAAAGCAGGAAATGCTGGGGTCATTCAGCCAATTGATGAGGCCTCTTCTGGAACACTGTCCAGTTCTGGTCACCCTGTTATTGAAAGGATATTATTAAGATGGAGAGGGATCTAAAGAGATTTACCAGGATGTTGCCAGGTGTGGAAGGTTTGAGTTACAAAGAAAGGCTGGATAGGCTGGGACGTTTTTTCAATGGAGCATCGGAGGTTGAGAGGTGACCTTAGAGAAGTTTATAAAATAATGAGGGGTATAGATAGGGTTAATGTAGATTAGGGGACACATTTTAAAGGTAAGAGGAGAGAGGTTTAAAAAAGATGTGAGGGGTAATTGTTTTTAGACAGGATGGTTCATGTGTGGATGTGAGTGCAATTACAACGTTTAAAAGACATTTGTATAAGTAAATGAATAGGAAACATTTGAAGGGATAGTTTAGTTTCGTTTGAGTTTGTTTGGCATGGACTGGTTAGACCAGAGGGTCTGTTTCCATGCTGTATGACTCTATGACTTTAAATAAAAATTCAGCTCAGTACAGTTTTGTTCCAAGTGTATGAAGAAATGAACGCAAGTGAACTGAGAAGGACTGACCATGAAATGAAGCCAACATTTGACAGTGTGGCATCAAAGAGGGTTGACACACCTAAACACAAAAGATGATGATTATGGTTCTTGGAGATGAATCATTTCAGTCTCAGGACATTGTTACAGGAGTTCCTCCAAGTAGTGTCCTCAGCCCAACAGTCTTCCACTGATTCAATGATTTTGCCTCTATCATCAATTTCAAAATAGTACTGTTCCCAACTCCCCAGCTGTTGAAACAGTTGGTATCCAGATACATTCAGGCTTCGCTGATGGCAGGTAACGTTTGTGCTAAGTGCTAGGCAGTGACCATATCCAGCAAGAGAGAATCTTAAGATCTCCCTTAGATATTCAGCAATGTTATCATCACTGAATTTCCCCACTATCAACACCTTGGGTATTAGCATTGACCAGAAACAGTCATGCATCAACCATGTAAATCCTGTGGCTACTAGAATAGGTTAGAGACTGAGTTCTGAAGCTTCCTGACTGTCCAAAGTCTGTTGAGGATCTACAAGGTCAATTGACCCCTTGAAGTCAGTATGCTTGATGTTTCACCTTTATTATTTTTCTCAAATTTGGCAGAAAAACTTGTGATTGGCTTCTTTTTGCTTCTGTATAAAGCTAGTTCGCTGCATTTATTTTATTGGAGAGAGATAACATTCAAGGTAATCAGCACTTAAACTTTGTGGCCGATTGAGGAGGCTGCAAAGAGGGGAATCAGTTCACCCTTTGTCTTCCGGTCATACAGAGCTTAATTAATGTTTCAGGTCTGGGAACGTGGGAAATAACCTGCATTTAGATGGTTTTGACTTTTGTTTTCCCTTGTCTTTGGTGAAATAGCCTGAAGCCTCATAACTTTGGGGAAATGCCTAGTGTGAGATTGATCAAAATCATGTTTGTTACAAAACAAGTAAAACCTGTGGCGAAGCCATTACTTTTAATATAGTGACAGGTTTCCTTTGAAGAAGCAAGTGTTTAAAGCGGAGTAAATAAAATTCAAAAGATCCACAATAATAACTGGATTAGGTCGGGAGGTGGCTAAAGATGCTGCTGTCAATGACTTTGATGTTATGGTTCAATAAGTTATGCTGTTTTGGTACTTGGAGAATAACAAACAAGTTTTTCACAAATAAAAAGAGAAAATTTAACAGAAACAGAGAAAATAAGAGGAGGAGGAGATCCTGCAATCCACTGTCCCCCATTCAGTATGAGCATGGCTAAACATCCGACCCTGTACCCTGTTCCCACTTTCTTCCCATACTCTTTGATCCCTTCAGTCCTAAAAATTATAGCTAACTCTTCCTTGTTCAAGGTTTTGGTATTGACTGTTTTCTGTGGCAGATCAGTTTCTACCAGCTGCAAGAGCCCCATTTGGCAAGGAAGTTTGTCTGCTTTCATATCTGTTCTGCATCATCAAGACTGCAACATAGAGTCACTTTGAGACAGAATTTGGTGGTCTTTATTGTCAGGGAAGTTTGTGAGAATTATATTGGTATTATGGATTGCATTATTTTATAATTAGGATTGGAACAGATGAGATAAGATGACATTTGGTGTATGCTAGCACTGACTGCCAGAACTGGATAACAAGATAATTTTATTTCTGAACTCAATTTGACCACAGCACAAGCTTCCTGGGCACTATGGAAAAGAATTGGATCTCGTCGTTGATGTCACGGAGAGATTGTTTTTGTTATGATAGTGAAAAATAACAGTGTTTACCTGTAAATTTTTTTTTTTGCTTTATTTTTGTCTTTTCAGTCTGTGCAGTTCATGTTGTCTATTGAAACCTGTTACAGAAGTGCAGATGTTACGAGTGCCAAATGAATGGTTGTCATACTTTTAAGCTTAAAGATAGTCCACTCTGATTTATGAAATAAGGTACACAATGCCTGTAAATCAAATTTGAAGGCCAACCTAAACGCACCCTACTTTTTTTTTTGGTAGTGCCATGATACCTTGGTGCAATTTGGAGGATTTTTAGCTTCAAATCTAAGTACAGAAGACTACATCAAACGAGTGCCTTCAATTGATGTTCTTTGTAATCAGTTTCACACACCACATGATGCTGCGTTTTTCTTATCCCGTCCCATGTATGCGCACCACATTTCGGTAAGTGCAATCTTTTATTTGGCAGCTGCTTTGCAGTTGATGTGGAAGGTTACTATTATGGCAACACGTCTTCATTCTTTTTCAGGAGTGTATTCTGTTGATGCATGTCAGGAAATGAGACTTTTAAAAGTTTGCTGACCAATAATTTGACGGACTGACAGAATTATCACAAATATAATCAAAATAATAATAATCAAATAATTAATAATCATCAAATCAATGATCAAATAATCACAAAGCCAACATTCAAATCATCCATCATCCAACTTTATTTGTAATAAAATACCAGTTTGGTTTTACGGGCAATGATTGAGCTATTGCCCTCCATTCCCATTTTCCTTTCTGTACCGCCCTTCCAGTTGGGCCTTTTAAGTGACAATCTGATAGAGGCCCACATTATATGAAGCCTCGGAAAACAAAACTCAGAACCTGAACCAAGAGAATTCAGCTTTTTTGAGACTATTGCAATTAAAGTTTGGATCTTTGATAATGTCTGGTGCTTTTGACAGAGGAAATGCAGCATGGGTACTGAGAACTAAAACAAGGGAAGTAAAATTTCTGAATCAGCATGAGGCAATTCTGAATCGACTGTTGACTATCAACTGAGTTTATTTAATACTTGTTGTTAAAGGAATATGTTTGGAATCCTATCACTTTCACTGCAAGGTGCACAAGTAGTCTTGTTAAAATATGGAAGAAAAATTATGAGTTAGGTTGAGGGCTGGATCAGAAGTATGCCTTTGTAAAATTCTTCCAATTTTAATTTTTATTTCCAAATATGTTTAATGTTACAGCAGACAAAGAAATAATGTTTTTTTTTCATTTTTCTTCCAAGTTATTTCAGAGTTTTATTATTTAATGGATTTTGGACTTGGGTTTATTTTGTGATTAATTGTTTTAATTGGTTCTGGGAGTTGTGTTGGCTGTGGCCAATATTTTGTTTCTATTTTCTGGTCACTGCTTGTGATCATGAAGCAGAAATTGTAGTCTATATTTCAAAAGTTAGACATCACTATTAACATTTTATAGTCAGCGTTTGTGTCTAGAATAATAAAGGCCATCAGATTATTCTGTGTTCATGCTCTATCCTCTGGCTAATTTCAACTCTGTGCATAATTTCTGGGTCGATTTTCTCCTTCCTTATGTGTGAGAATAATAAGTGTGATGACCTCATTAGGTGAGAGTCCAAAATTCATTCTCGCTGCTGAGAAAAACACTCACACTGAAGTCCTTCCTTGCCAGATGGTGTGATCAAATTCTCGCCATATGAAGCTGATCCCCATGCATTTGCATTTTATTAATTACACAATTGAACCTGTTAACTCACCCTTCCCCAATTAACTTCCTTAGTCAAAAAACTCAACACTTAAAAACAAAATTTTGACACTTAAAAAGAAAGCTGATACGTGTTTAGCTTGCTCCTCAGCATCGAGTCCAGGTGAGTTCTCAGCTATGCCAGCCACTTTCCTTTTCTCAACTCTGTCTGAACTGCAGCATGTACCTCCATAGTCAATAGCAGTAATCTCCCTGGACGCACTATCCACGCAACAGTGCAATGGCAATACATGAGCCTCAGAGCAGTGGGTTGCTGTCAATCAGGCAGGCTCAGGCATCACTTGATGGTGAAGAGGGAGTCTCTGTGAGCAGTCCAAAAATCCACTGCTGGCTTAAAGATGGCTTGAGTTGACATGATAATGGTGTGATGAGTCCGCTACAGTTGATTCGTAAAAGGGCGAATGTGTTCGAGGAGGAAGAAATGCAGGAGAAGCAGAAACCTTCTCAGGAGGATGATGGGCAAAGGCCTGATAGACTCCGAGAGGCCAGAGGTAATCTAATAACTGACCACTTCCAGGTTTACTGAGCTGGGTGGCGATTTTCTATTTGCAAATTTTGATGTCATGAGCGCAGTGGCACTCATCCTTCTACTTTTTAACTTTTAGTTTTCCAATGGTTTGAGTTTATGATGTTCATAGCTCTAGTCAGTAAAAAGGCAGTTGTTGGTTTCAATTTATCTCTGATATCCTCACTTCCATGAAAGTTGGTGTGTCTGTATACCATTTCCATGACGGCACTGTTAACGATAAAGCAGCGGTTAAACACTGAATACCTCCATTAGATTACGGTGCTGTGTGTTGGTCATAGAATCGTAGAGTCATGCAGCACGGGAACAGACCCTTCGGTCCAACTCGTCCGTGCCGTTATTGGAGTATTGGTAAGTTATTGGAGAGGTTACTGAGGGACAGGATCAATCAACATTGGGATAGTCAGCATGGATTTGTGCGCGGGAAGTCATGTCTGACAAATCTTTGAGTTTTTCAAAGAAGTAACCAAGAGGATAGATGAGGGTCGAGCAGTGGATGTTGTCTGTACGGACTTTAGTAAGGTCTTTGACGTAGTCCCGCACGGCAGGCTAGTCATGAAAGTTAGGTTGCATGGGATCCAGGGAAAGCTCGCTAATTGGATTCAAAATTGGCTTAATGGTAGGAAGCAGAGGGTGATAGTTGAGGGTTGTTTCTCAGACCGGAGGCCTGTGACAGGTGGTGTGCTACAGTGGTCGGTGCTGGTGCCTTTGTTATTTGTTATTTACATAAATGATCTGGATGTGAATGTACAAGGCATGATTAGTAAGTCTGTGTATGATGCAAAATTAGGAGGTATTGTTGATAGTGAAGAAGATTATGTAAAATTACAGAGGGATATTGATCATATGGGGAAGTGGGCTAAGGATTGACAAATACAATTCAATACAGATAGGTGTGAGATGTTGCATTTTGGAAAGTCAAATCAAGGTAGGACTTGTACAGTAAATAGTAAAGTCCTGAGGAACAGAGGGACCTAGGAGTACAAGTACATAGTTCATCAAAAGTGGTGTCACAGGTGGATAGGGTAGAGAAGAAGGCATTTGGCATGCTGGCTTTCATCAGCCGAGGCGTTAAGTATAGGAGTTGAGATGTTATGTTACAGTTGTATAGGGCCTTGGTGAGGCCGCATTTAGAGTACTGTGTACAGTTTTGGTCACCCTGTTATAGGAAAGACATAGTTAAACTGGAAAGTGTGCAAAGAAGATTTACGAGGATGTTGCCATGACTAGTAGGCCTGATGTATCGGGAGAGGTTGGCCATGATAGGACTTTATTCCTTGGAACGTTGGAGAATGAGGGTGACCTTATTGAGGTGTATAAAATATGAGGGGCATAGATAAGGTGAATGCATACAGTCTTTTTCCCAGAGATGGGAAATTGAAAACTCGAGGGCATTGGTTTAAGGTGAGAGGGGATAGATTTAAGAAGGACCAGAGGGACAACTTCTTCACGCAGAGTGGTGCATATATGGAATGGACTGCCAGAGAAAGTGGTTGAGGCATGTACAATAGTACCATTTAAAAAAACATTTGGATAGGTACATGGATAAGAAGGGTTTAGAGGGATATAGATCCAAATGCGGGCAGTTGGAACGAGCTGAGTGGGCACCATGGTCAGCATGGACCAGTTTGGGCTGAAGGGCCTGTTTCCATGCTGTATTACTCTATGATTCAGTGACTCTATCTATCACTTTCTCTGGCAGATTATTCCACATATGAACCATCCTCTGCTACAAAACGTTGCCCGTCAGGTCCCTTTTAAATCTTTCTCCGCTCACTTTAAAAATATGCCCCTAGCTTTGAACTCCCTCTCCCTAGAGAAAAGACCCTGGCTATTCACCTTGTCTATGCCCCTCATGATTTTATAAACCTCTATGAGGTCACCCATCAAGCTGGTAGGCTCCAGTGAAAATAGCCCCAGCTTAGCCAGCCTCTCCGGCCTCGCCTTATAACTTAAAGGCTCAAGTCCTAGCAACACCCAGGTAAATTTTCGAACCAGTGAGCACAAAGTTCTTTGTGAATACATGTATGAATTTGGTTATCTGAAGAAAACAAAATTCATCAACTTTTTCAAACATAGATAAAAGAGCTGAATTCCAAACGTGAGTTGAGAGTGACTGGTCTTGACATCAAGGCTGCATTTGACTGGGAGTGGCATCAAGGAGCCCCAGCAAAACTGGAATCAGTGGGTCTCGGGGAAAACGCTTCACGGGTTGGAGTCATATCTGACACAGCGACCTTGGTTCTAAAAACTTATCAGTGCTTTCAGGGAGGCCACTCCTCATAAGGACTACCAAGGTGTCACTCACCCTGAAATTTTTCCTACTGAGAGATTGTCAATAATGATCCCTTTAATTCACATTGAAACAAAACTACACCATTATTATGCCTCAGTATTCCATCTGACGGTGCTTCTAATGTAATGAAATGCAGTTAGTAAACCTGTACAAAGTAGTGTGCCATTACAAAAATGAGCTTGTGCATTAGCCATTTCACACCCTTAAATGTAACAATATTCCTTTGAGAAGGTCAGATACAGGACAAACATTCCTTTCTGAAATGTATGGAACCGTGGCACATGCCATCATCTGTCCCACAAGAGGAGTGTTAGAGGTGACCTGTTTGGAAAAACCAGTTCCTGGCTCCTGTCCTTCAACACATTTTGTGCCTTTGTGTTCATGAGATTTATCTATAGTGCTTTGGTTGCGATTCTGAACTTCTCCGTATGTACTTAATTGAAATCACCCAATTTGTTGCCATGAAAGAATCACTGGGGTTTGAGAATAACAAAGTATCACATCCTTTGGATCATGGAATGTATGCCAGCCCCTGTCGGTTCAATAAGATACAGCACACTTACAACAGTTCAGGTTGGATATATGCTTAGAAAAATGGTTTATTTACCAAGTGATTGTCTACCTGTACCACCGATTTGCCCTTTTTTTTTTTATTGCCCTTTCTCTCCCATTACATCGAGATTCAAGCCTAACTTCTTTAACTGGGAAGAAGAAGGCTTGCTGTAAAGTATTCCCTGGTGACTTTGAAGACTTGGTTGGTCACTCCTGGCATGTTTTAACCTGGAGTTCCCAGGCCTGGTGAAAGCCTCTTATCCATACATAAGCTCGACTTCCTTGGGCTGATCAGCTACGGGCGTTGGGATCAAAAGACATGGGAAGGTGGAGGAGCAAGGCTCTTCTGTAAGGTCCAAAGAAGCAGCTGCTGCATTGCCTTTGTGTGTCCTCCATGTGTGTGCCTGCTCACAACACTTGTAAGGGGAAGGGAAAGGACATCTGGAGTGAGATAGAGGTCTGTTTTCCCTATATTGCCTTGCCATTGATGCTGAGCACCCAAGGAGTGATGGAGTACATGCCCAAATTATCTCGAGCAAACACTGAGCATTGCGCCGACCCTGGGTCTCTGCAGAGAATGCCATTCTTCCCACGGAGACAGTCATGTGCCTATTTGCCAGAGTCACGGAAGTCCTGGCAATGTGGAAGGGCTTCTCATTCTTTCCAGTTTACCATGGGTGTCTGGCACACCGGTCTGATGATCCTGGGCCTGATTCTGTAGATTGACCATGCCACTTAAGACTGAGTACAGAGGCATTGCCTTTCCAGGTGGTTCAGCAGGTGCTTGGTCTCTAGCGGTCTCTAGCAGTCTTCGGAGTGTCACAGTCGTCTGGCATTTCTTCCACACCTGCTATGGAACCATCACCAAAATGTTTCTCCAACTCTTATCTAAATGGAGTATACACTAAGATGATTGTGTTGGTGAATGGTGCATATGAACACATTGCCAATGCGTTCTCTGAGATTTCACACACTTTCCAGAGGAGGTGCTGGTGATGAGGTGTTCAGCTCTGACCTTTTTAGAGATGGTAGTTCCTGGGTAACAGTTGTGCCTCCATAAAAGGAATAGGTTATTCATTAGCCAAGGTGGAGAAAAGCTTATGAAGAGCCAAATGTTAACATCGGTACGCATCCGAAAACATCAGAGTGCTGTGTTGATTTGTGGGTTGATGAACCATTGCCGTCTCCCTGTCACCACAGTAGTAATCCTTTTCTTCCCTGAGCAGTTCAACCAATCTTTCCTCAAAAGCGGTGAGAAGCAGGAATGGAAAGAAAGGAGGCAAGGTGGTGGAATTGGTTAAGTAGAGCATTGCAGTGCTTGAGATAATGGATGTCCCAAAGTGTTTTCACGGACAGAGCCAATCTGGCAAGAGCTAAGTAACAAAAAAGTGCTGCACTTATATTGCTCGCTGTAGCCTGTAGGCAGCCAATCTCGGGGGAAGATGCAGTGAAAGAAATCTGCAGGAAAATTACAGAGAGATGCCATCCTTATAGAGCAGTTATAATGGAGAATTTTAACTCCCTGAATGTAGACTCAAGATAGTGATTATGTAAAAAGTGGAGAGCATAAATTTTTCTTGCTTGTGTTCTTGAAACTTTTCTGCAACAGTACATGCCCAATCCAACACAGAATATGCACTGTTGAATCTGGTTCTTGGAAATTTGATGAACCAAGTAAATCAGATGTCAGTAGGTGGATATTTTGGAGACAATGATCATTGTACCGGAAGATTTAGAATATCAGCATATGACTTCGGTGTAGGCCATTCAGCCCCTTGAGTCTGCTCCACCATTCAATGAGATCATGGCGAATTTGATTACAAAATCAAATTCACATTCTCATCTATCATGATAGACATTCAGCCCCTCGCTCAAAAAGTAGCTGTCTACCCTTGTCTTAAAAATATTCAAAGATTCTGCTTCCATCACCTTTTCAGTAAGAGAGTTCCGAAGACATTCATCCCTCTGAGAGAAAAGATTTGTCCAATATGTGTTTTAAATGAGCACCCCTGATTTTTAAGCAGTGACCCTAGTTCTAGATTCTGTCAGAAAGAGAGAGAGCTGCCTTCAGTGGGACAATAGAATGGCTGAGCTGGATAGAGTGGAATAAAAGGAGGGCAGGCTGCCTTCAAAGAGATGATGGTTCGGGTAC